ACAGTTAAAGTGGCCTCCAGCTGCATTATTTTTGGCAGTCTGTAAAGGCCCATAGACAAAGTTTTCCTATAGCTTGGATCAAACGTTGATCAGAACAGAGATTACCAGTCAAGAAAAAAACTAGGAATGGAAAAGGCCTCCACAAAAGAACTAAATAAGATCCTAAAGTGTAAAGATATACAGCTAAGCACTAAAGTCAGAAGTGTCAAAGCCATTGTATCCCCTATTACCATGTACACATGTGAGACTTGGACAGTAAAAAAAAGCAGATTGGAAGAAAATCAACTCATTTGAGATGTGCCACTGGAGGAGAGTGCTGAGGATATTATGGAGAGCCAAAAAGACAAACAAATGGGTCCTTGAACAGATCAAGCCCAAAGAGAAAGTAGACAAAACCTACAATTGCAGGTTGTTTTTCAGACAACCTTTGGATGAAAGAGAAATAATGCAAAAATAACCCAAATGGAAAGCTGACAAAACCCACTCCTTTTTATTTTCGGGAACTTCCGAAAGTAAAAAGGAGCAGGTTTTGGTGACTTTCCGTTCGGGTTAATGTCACAGTATTTCTCCTTTACACAAATACGTCTGAAAAACAACCTGCTTTCGCTGGTGTTTTTTTTTTGGGGGGGGGGATTTTGAAATCCCATTTCTGCACAGGATTTAAGCAATTTGCCTCCATGTGATAAGATCCCTGTTACTTTAAGGGCAGTGAAGAAGAGGGAATTTCAATAGGTACTGCTTGTAACCTTGCTGCATGACAAGCAACACCTACTGAAATTCTCTCATCTACACAACCATTAAAGGTACAGGAGCTGCCTCCAGTTTTCAGTCTGGCAACCCAAAACAAACATCACTCCATGGATTGAATTCCTGGGCTGTATTACAGCCAAGTGCACCCCCTTTTCCCTGGGGCACCTTGGCTGTCTTTTACCCAGATAATATATAGGCTGAAATGGAAGAAGGACTGGTAGGTGGATGGCCTTGTCCTGCAGCAGAAAGAATGTGGCCAGCTTGCCTCCCGTGCTAGTTCTAAAAGATGTTTTTAGTTATTTTCAAAGCTGTATTAGTCTATTTCATCATAGAATTATACAGGAAAAATAAATTTCCGGCATAAGTTTCCTTACAGACTCTTGTGGAGGCCATAAAATGAAAGCTCATGCTAGAAATTTTTTAAAGATGATTTTAATTATAAAATATTATTCATGTATAAAACTAACCAACCAACAGATCAATTGACAAGTTCTTAAGCTACATCACTTCTAATTGTAAATTTAGCCCACTTACCTTTGTTATTTCTAATTTAATTTAAACCTTTAAATACCCCTTTCTCCCCTCATTCTGAATGCTGACACTTTCACAGGGCAAGAGGGAGACCAGCTCAGTTCTACAAAAGAACATTTTCTCAGATGTCCCAAAGCTACACCCCCTTATCTATACAATGAGAGCTCACCTTGCATAGCCAAGTTGCAAGTGATGGAGAAACCATATTGTTATTATTGGCCTATATTCTCTATCAGCTGCTTAGTCAAGTAACCATTCCTTGGACAATCCCTCCCTCCCAATTGATGGAAATGTCATTAATCCATGTTCTGATCGCTGGCAGAATGGACCTCCTTCTTCCCATGCAGCTGCTGCATGGTAAAGTAGGACTGCATCTACACTGCAGAATCAATGCAGTTTGACACCGCTTTAACTGCCATGGCTCAGTGATATGGAATCCTGGGATTTGTAGTTTTGTGAGTTATTTAGCCTGCTTTTCAGAGAGCTCTAGTGTCACACAAATTACAAATCCCAGGATGCCATAGAATGGAGCCAGCACAGTTAAAGCAGTGTCAAACTATTAATTCTTCAGTGTGACAGCTGCCTAGATGGGGTAGGGAATTATGATCATGGCGATAGTGTGAAATTTGTGACAAAGTAGCAATTTGAATATGAGATAGTTATGGATAAGTAAATCCAGGTTACTGTTTTGTGTTCCCAGTTGCTGATAGATAATGCAGGCCATTATGCTAGAGGTCTGTTTTATTAACTAGCAATGATAGTTACCTAGGTTGTCCATATCTTAAGCATATAAACCCCATGTTTTGTTGTTGTTGTGTGCCTCCAAGTCATTTTTGACTTATGGCAACCCTAGGGTGACCCATCTTGGCAACTTTATTCGGGGGGGGGGGGTGTCATTGCCATCCTTTGAGGTTGAGAGAGTGTGACTTGCCCAAGGTCACCCAGTGGGCTTTTATCTTTGAGCAGGGAATTGAGCCCTGATCTCCAAAGTCATAGCCCAATGCTCAGACCCAAGTACTGGGTAAATATGAGAGCTCACTAACAGGCCTTGCATTCTTCTGCAAATCTGGCCTACTAACCTTCACAGAAATAAATAAAAATGAAACAGATAGACTTCCATATCCTTAGTTCCATGCCCTTCATTGAGATCATAAAATGGGCACTAGTGGAAGGGTGAGATGTACTACAAGAAACTCACAAGAGCTTATTCAGAGCATGGAAAGTTTGTTTTTAGGGACTACAGTTCCCAGAATACCTAGACCAGCATGGGATTTTTTATCTAAAAATAACATTCCCAGTTTATCTCTGTTTAGTTCCCTGTGAGATCCCACTTCTCATTCTGCCACTTCCAGCCTGCATGAAATAATTATATCTGCAATAATCTCAGGCATTTTCCCAATAGATCTTCTTCCGTCTTGCCTGAGCTCTCCAGAGGATCGTTACCTGCTCCAATAAGCTTGAAAGGAAATCATAATTACATTTTAAAAAATTGACTGTTTGTGCTAATCATCAAGGGAATGCAGATAACAATAGTAATAAGCCATACCATATAATCTACACTCACCCTCTTTAAAAAAACAACAACACCAAACAATCCTTCTCCTGAAAGAAACCCACATAAATAAAACCCATTTTCAAATAATTTCTTTTAACTTGACATGTTCATTTCTCCCTACTCCAGTCACACACAAAATCATAGGTTTGTAGAATCTTAGAGTTGGAAGGGGTCTCGGGGGTCATCTAATCCAACCCTCTGCCATGCAGGAATACAGAACTAAAGCACTCCTGAAAGATGCCCATCCAACCTTTGTTTAAAGACCTCCAAAGAAAGAGAGCCCATCACCCTACATGGGAGTCCATTTCACTGTCAAACAGGTCTTATAATAAAGGAGCCCTTCCTAATGTTTAGGTGGAATCTCTTTTCTTGTAATTCATATCCACTGGCTCTTGTTATTTTCTCTGAAGCAGCAGAAAACAAGCCTTCACATTACATCCCCTCAGATATTTAAAGATGGCTACCATGGTAGCATGGCATAGTTGTTTGAGTGTTGGAGTATGACGTTGGAGACCAGGGTTCAATTCCCTGTTCAGCCACGAAACCCACTGGGTGTTCTTGGGCAAGCCACATGCTCTCAGCTTCATGGGAAGGCAATGGCAAACCTCCTCTGAACAAAAAGACTTGCCAAGAAAACCTCATGATAGGTTTGCCTTAGGGTCATCATAAGCTGGAAAAACTTGAAAGCACACAACACACACAATGGACATTTTCACACTAGGCCAGTTCCACAACTATCCTGTTATTGGCAGTGAACTGGACAGTAGCGCTCTGACAATCTATTTCCCCATGCAGTTTCACAATTATGATATAACCATGGAATAAGAAAGGTATACAAGTGCTTTTGCATTTCATGACCATAAAGTCTGTTGCAGGGGTATGTGATGCTTTGTGCATGCACAGGGAGATGCAAACTTCTGGTTTTCTGTTGTCATAAGAGTTACCATGATTGCACTTTTCCTGCTTCTGGTCAGGTGTCTTGGGTGTACATTTTGTCAATCATTGATCAGAACAGAGACTACAGTCAAGAAACCAGGAGAAAACTAGGAATGAGAAGGACAGCTATGAAAGAACAAGACGAAATCCTAAAGATTTACAACTAAGCACTAAAGTTAGGATTGTCCAAGCCATAGTATTCCCCATCACCATGTTTGGATGTGAGAGTTGAATAGTGAAGAAAATGGAGAAGAGCTAAATCAAGCCATTTGACATGGGATACTGGAAAAATGTGTTGAGGATACCATGGACAGCCAAAAGGACAAACAAATGGATCCTAGAACAAATCAAACCTGAACCTTCCTGGAAGCAAAAATGATGAAACTGAGGCTGGCCACATCTTGAGAAGGCATGACTCATTAGAAAAGACAATAATGCTAGAGAAGGTAGAAGAAAGAAAGGAAAAGTACAGTCCAGATGGATAGACTCAATCTGGGAGATCACAATGCCATTCCCGCACTGGGTGTCACCTGGTTCAGGGGCCAGGGCTTCCAGGAGGTGGGACAGTGTGCACATTGAGTGTGTGTGAAGGGGGTAGTGCAGAGATGACACATGGGGAGAGCGTGGGAACAGCGCAGGGGAACACATGGGGGGATTGCACATTGGGGGAGCATAGAGGAGAGGGCTCAACCAGGTGTCACACACACATCCCTTTCTGGGGTGTTACCTGGTGAGTACTGCACCACCACAAAATCCTAATGATGCCACTGCTTGAACTTACAGGATCTGAGCAGAACAGTGGAGGAGAGGGGAGCTTGGAGATGTTGGGGTTGACTCAAAGGCAGTTAAAAACAACAACAGCAACAACAGGATTCTTATTTCTCATGGGAGCAGAAAGGAAAATCTCTGCCGTGTCAGTGGTGGGAAAAGGTGCAAGTTGAACCCCACAGTGACTTCCCATTAAGTCACTGAGTCATGGTGTGTATTAATGGGTGGTGCCACTGGAAGCCAGTTGTTGTTACTTGCATTTTAAAGAGCCAAAATAGAAAAGAAAATGGTGATCAATCTAGCGCTCTTATGACTGAATAACCAGCAGAAGAGAAAAAAGAAGAAAACCCCAAATGCTTCTTTTGGAGTGCCACTGAATCATCCCTCAAGCCAGGTTGGATTTAGGAAAGAATTGGATGGGATAAACCAAATGCTATTTAGGACCCATTTCCAAAGAACAATGGGTCTCACAGATCAGACTCCCCACTCTCACAGATCAGACTCCCCACTCTCCAGTCACAAGACGTTTTGCAATGTTTTCTGGGCCTGCCTTGGTCAGAGC